CACGAAAAAAGGCTAATCACCGACATCGCCATGGTGCAGCTAAGCGAGGAATGCTCGCCATCCTTCAAAACAAGCTTCCACAAAAGCAACAAGATTCATGAAATTTTACTAACCCTTGACAAGCATATAGAGAATTTCTTGACAAACTTAGGAGCAAGCATAAATGTCATGTCATATATATGTTAGATGAAGTTAAGCTTAGTTGAACTAAAATATAAAAGAATGTGTGTGGATGTTGTTCAACCCATGAGTATAGCGGAGGATCTCTTAGTGCAAGTGGGAAAGTTCTATTTTCCAATGGATTTCGTGATCCATAACGTTAATGAGGATATAAAAGTTCCACTTATACTATAGCGGTCATTCCTTGTCATCATTAAGGCTTTAATAGATGTGGATGAAGGTACCTTAATGTTGAGAGCGGGTGATGAAAAGACCACCTTTTCTTGGAAAATAATGTGCAAGATGTACCTTTGCATGATCGTGTTGACAATGGTATGGTGAAAAAAGACCCTAAGGCTTCTAAGGTCAAGTCCATTTCTGTCAATGCTTTGACCCATGTTGTGGACAAATCTTGTGTATTTCCTTTTTGTGATGTGAAACAGGTTTTGGGCTCTTTCCAATGGTGGTCAAGGTGAAGACCAAGTGGTTGTAGCAACCCAAAGTGATGATTCCAAAGATGCCTCATGGGAAGGTCAGAGGCAACGATAAGGAAAGTTGTCCAAAAGATGACAAATTGAAAGGTGCCAAAGTGATAGTGTGCATTAGAGTGTGGTTGATCCACTCTTAGAGGCATCTTACTCCAAATCAAGATGAGATCTACCAATGGTGTTCAAGGTTTTGGGCTCTTTCCAATGGTGGTCAAGGTGAAGACCAAGTGGTTGTAGCAACCCAAAGTGATGATTCCAAAGATGCCTCATGGGAAGGTAAGAGGTAACGATAAGGAAAGTTGTCCAAAAGATGGCAAATTGAAAGGTGCCAAAGTGATAGTGTGCATTAGAGTGTGGTTGATCCACTCTTAGAGGCATCTTACTCCAAATCAAGATGAGATATACCAAGTGCGTCTAGTTAATGATGTAAAAGTAGCGCTTGTTGGGAGGCAACCAAACATTGGTTTGTATTTCTTTTCCTTCCCTTTTGTGTGATGTGTGTTTGAGTCATGAGTGTGACTATAGAGTTGGATCTGTCCCCGTGGTTGTCTTGATTCTGCCATTGGATGTGTTGTGTTTGGGTTTCGGGCACAAACGAGTCAATCGAGGGTCGAAAAATGGTTAAGTAGTGAAATTTTCAAAATGTCATGGTTTTGATGTAAATGTCACGGTTTCAAACCATGACATTACCACCACCCCTAGAGTTGTGGTTTTTCTTCCGGTCACTTGTAAATGCAAGGGCCTCAGTGTAGATTTCATGGTTGAAATCGTAACTCTAACAAAGACATGGCATTTGACCCAATACGCACCATTTGCGTCGACCTCATAGTTTGTTGTTTATCTCATGGTATGACCATGAGTCGTGCACCCCCAATCCTTCAGTCGCCTTAGTCTCCTTCTTCCTAGCGTCTCTACTACCCAAAAAATGACATAAAGGAAACAAAGGTGTCCCTCAAACCCTGCTCTCGACCCTTGATACCCATCTACCTTTATTTTTCCCTATCCCCTGCTGGAAAGTACAAAGAGAAACAGAGATGGAAAGAAAGACAATGATGCATGGAGTATCGGCAATGGATGTCGGTGATGGTACCACCGGTGGCAATTGGGGTGAGATTTGTCACAAACACCGCCACTTCCAACGACTGTTTCTGCGCTTGAGCGACAACAAGATAATATTTCAATAGACAATGACGAAATCATGATGCCTAAATCTGATTCCCACGAATTGTCTGGAGCGCTTCTTTATTACGGCGACTGTGGACGGATCGAGATAGACGTTCGACATAGGCTCTCTCTATTGGGGTCAGGATTACGACAGACATGCACCATTGGGGCCAGGCCCGAATCCGATCTCGATGAACCACCCGACAACAAACAAGATCTCATGGTCCCTGGGTAAAATGAGAAGGAGGTGACGGTTGATTCAAGTGAAACTGAGTATTGTGGAGATCGTGAAAGACAGGTGTTGGGCGATGATTAGAGAGAGGGGAGGTGGGCAGAAAAGATATTGGTTGCCAGAGCTAATGGGAGGGATGTGGTTGCAAGGGCTTAGAAGGGAAGGGCTTGGAGGAGAGAAATGGGGAGTCGAAGATTGGATTTGGACACTATAGCAAAAGAACAAGAATATAAGAGAAGAAGAATAAGAAGAGAAGAGGGGTAAAGGCTGGTACTCGGTTATTCGGTACATCTAGTAACCGGCAGTATATTGATCACTGGATTTTAGCGATCCTGTACCGATATGGCTGGTTAAGGGTAAATGGCAACCATCACATACTGATTCGATAATCGATTATACCGTTTACCGGAAACTGATTACCACCCCTACGAGAAAGGTATTAGTAGTAAAATGGACTTTCCCTACCATTTAGTCCGACCAAATTCGGGTATAAGCGTCTACAAACAAGCATATAAGTTCTAGGTTTATTATTCAAAAACTGTGATAATCATATTTTTCTAGGTTTAGAGTTTGGTGAAGAAGAAACCAAGTGATTGTGTAGTACCTATATATTGACAAGTCGACCATAGTGTCACACCGATTGACCTCTTTAGGGCCCTGTCAACACCGTTGGTTTAAGATATGTATCCTCAATCGATCGACCTATGGTGGGTGCCCTGTTTCGCAATTCCCACAATTGATTACTCAATGCATTAAATAATTTGAATAAAAATACAACGAAATGCGTAGTATCACTCGATTTGGATTCAAAACTTGGACAGCTCTGTGATCTTTGGTTCAAACGCAATGCTAGCAGCAAAAGTTTAAGGTATTTAAGATTCTGTCAACGAGTATGGAGGGAGAAGAATGAAAGCAAAAAGAGGGAAATTTCTCGAAGACAGGAAGGAAAGAGAAATGTTGGGCCGCGACGGCGAGAGTGGCGGTGGCGGAGGAGGGTTTTTGGGATGGAGGAATGTGTATAAGGAGTTGGCAAACTTGAAGTCATTGTTCCTTTCAATCTACACCACCGTCCTGCTTGGAGTTGTGTTCTTTTCCTTTTAGATGGTTTAAGATATGCATCCTCCCCTTGAGTAGATGGCTTTTGGCGGATTTTTTATTATAGAGTGAGGTTAGAGAGAGAAGTTGAAGGAAGGAGAAGAAGGAGTCAATGAGGAAGGGATCCCCAAGGTATTAGGGGTTAAAAACCCCAAACCCTAGAATTAGGTTTTGATTGTATATGTAATTGTGTTAAAGTTTGTGTATGGATTTATTTGTTTCAGTTAATATATGCTTAATTATATTGGGGCTTGTCTCTCCAGCTCTTCTGTTCTAGCCTACCACTATGTCGTTTGAAAAAGTTAGGAGTTAAGAGATAGACTGGATTTGAGCGCCTTATGGCTAATTAGGGGTAGATGAAAGAATTTAGGGTTCCTTTAGTCGACGAGGAAACCAAACCCCTGCTTGAGGAATTCCCTCCTGAGCAATGCTAGAGATGATGCCAGCATCATCGATCCATCGCTTTAGTGTGCATGATAGGTTGAACCTATTGAGAGAGACTATATGAGCATCCCTAGTACGTGAGCTTTGACTGAGGTGACAATGGGTCTTTGGTATCATAGTAGGAGGAGGGAAAGTAATCATTGAAACTCTCAGCTAAGTGAGTCTTGCACCTTATCTTGCAAACCCAACATAGTTAACAATTTCCATGATGAACTTAAGATTAGGGTGAGAGAGTTACCCCGAGTACCTCTTCTTTTTTATCAATCTAGGTCATTAATCGTCAACTGCTCACCTGCTAAGTAGCAGGTTGACTAGATAATGACCAAGTCTAAGTAGTCTAGGATATCATGACCATTGAAATATGACCGATCCACTTTACTACATCTCTAGCTTGGTTATAGTTTGTCTTGTTAGGATTGACGTGAGTGTGCTTTAATTTATAAATTTAAAAACTCATCAGCTACTAAGCCCCAACCCTTGGATCTCAACTCCGTTAGCGTGACCATCAATCTGGCCATGTTAGTATATACTAAAAAAAACAGTTAGCAGCTTACCCTTCTCACCTCGGAACACCATTTCCCTACCAACTGATGTCTCATCAAAGACGATTAAATTTTCTCACTATCAAAACTAAAAAGGACGCTATGATATCGTCCTCATCTTTCTCGACTTCAACGAAACGGATTGTTGTATACTCCATCCCCAAAGGTCAATAGAGAAGACTGTTTAAGCAAGACTTCATATGCTTAATGAATTAACTCTTCTGGCAAAAGGAGAGCATTGCTTTATATTGCAATAGGTTCCTCTCTGTGAGTGATCAGTCAAAAAGCTTAAAAGGAGATTGGATAAGATCTATATAACTATATGTTGGATTGCGCCTCTTGAGAGATTCAGTGTTTTATCCTTTCTATTTCCCTTTCAAGTTCTTAGAACTCTTGTTTCCCTTTCCTAAAAGCAGTTCATTGCAGAAAACACACAACATAACATATCGGCTGGGCAACTCTTATTGTCATGTAAAAATAAATAACAGAATATAATATCGTTTACTCAGAAGTCAGAACTGCACAAAACTGAAACAACGCCAACTATATATTCATTCAAAAGTTTATCATCATTGTATCTAAGACTCTAAGTTCTATGCGAGAAACGAGCAGGTCACAAAGTTCAAGTGAAGACGTATAACATATCGCAGGCAAATCCTTATTAACCCCCTTCATCGAGCGGACCAGAAAACCAGCAGAAACACCAAACCACCTCTGAGAATTATTATTGACTACTACAAACCTTCAATGATACAGAAAAAACCTTTGAGCGAGAGGAAAAGAAGTAAATGGAGTCTAGAAACCTAAGCAGTAAATCAGAAGACCGTACTCTTTACAAACCATTCATTCCATCGCCAAACAATATCAAAGGCTGGTTCAAGGCTCGAACATGTTCTCAGCTTCTCGTTTCACGTCTTCGAAGAGCACCGACGAGAGGTAATGCTCGCCAAAACTTGGGAACACCACCTGTTCCTAAAAATAATAATACGTACAACGATGTCAAAGGTGTCAAAGGTGTAGTTGAAATAATAATAATATGTACAACGATGAGCTTTCCAGCATTCTCGGGCCTCTTGGAAATCTTCAGTGCAACAGCTGCAGCTGCACCAGATGATATCCCTACCCGCACAAAGTTTTGATGAACAAATTTCAGCGGCAATTGGAGACGGTTGGTTATGATAACACAACATGGTAGTTGATTCCAAACTTACCATCAATCCTTCCCTCAAGGCAAGACGTTTGGCAGTCTCAATAGCTTCTTCACTCGATATCTACAAACACAAAAGTTGAAATATAAGTCTCAATAGCCTGAAACACGAAAGAAGGAAATTTGAAAATAACTAGTTCAACTCAATAACTCGAGTTGTTGGAAGAGAGTCCAGAATGAATCTTGTACAATTTCCTATAATTCCTACTTAGAAAAATGTCAACTCACGGGGTTGAATTGTATACAATCTCATCATGCATGTCATTAATATTACAGACTTTAAGACCTTTAACACGCGAAATATTGGTCATCAAAGGCTTTGTTACCATTTCAAAAAATCTGACATCCCAATAGTTCAAACTGATTAGAAAGGTCAAGAACGAATGTTGTTTCATATGTGTAAGAATCAGGGTTAGAAAACTCACTTGAACAACTTCATCAGGCAAATTGACATCTAGGACTCCAGGGATGAAGCCTACACCAATGCCCCGGATTTATGTGGGCCTTACAAGTCCACAAGCAAAAAAGTTCAACAAGTTAGCAAAGAACAGGAAAAAGGAACAGACAAAGTCATAAGCCAATCCAATAATCGACATTATTAGTTTTAGAGGGTTGGGTCTTTTTTACTGTTACAATAGAATTTGTAGTAGAATTTCATATCCCCATAATGCAAATGGAAGAGATCTCAGATTAAGACTCACCAGGCTTTCCTCCGGACAACACTGCACTTTCAACTGGTTCTACACCATAAAGCTAAAACAAAGTTGAAAGCAAACATTTAGTCGAAAAACTAAGAACTAAATTATTATCCCAGGCTTGTCAGATGATAGCAAGAACCAATACCTTGATATTAGGGCTTTGCTCTTTAAGATACTTCCCTACGCCAGTTACTGTTCCTTCAGTTCCTATCCCAGACACAAAGGCATCAACTTTTCCAGCTAAGCCTTTCCAGATTTCTGGTCCTGTGGTTTCATAGTGAACCTGAACATGAAAAAAATGAATTGTGATTGTGATTGTGAATTGTGACACATTTATAATATAAATTTATTTTATTACACATCATAAACTAATAAAAAATTTACTTTAATTTCCCCCACCCTCATACATATACCCCATATATTTTGCCGATTTTTTCATTGTTTTCCCCTTCTACATGATAGACCGTTAATTGCACATGTTTTTACCCCTATTCTTACACCGTTTGAGATGTGGATTCTCGCGTTTTAGGCCGATTTCACGCTAGATTGTGCTTGTTTGTGATATTTCAGGTCCTAGTACGTGAATGAAGGCTTTGGAGCGAGTTTGGGGGCGATTGGACGAAGATCGGACGCGTGGCAAGGTGCTGAGGAAGCCACACGGGCATTCCTGGACACCACACGGCCGTGCAAGTCATGCTTGTGGCCGTGTGGCTTGTGCCAAGAGCAAACACGGGCAGAGCAGAATTTCCACACGGCCGTGTGACCCTGACCATGTGGGAAGCCTGAAATTCGACTAATCGATACGCAACGTTTTGAAGCCACACGGGCAACTGGGTGAGCCACACGGCCGTGTGGCATGCCCGTGTGAGTCGAGAAATCTTGGTTTTTACCCAATTTCGAGCAACAAGTGAGAGAATCGGATTTTCAGAGCAAAAACAGAGCCCTAGAGAGAGAAAGTGCGAAGAACACATCCTAGAAGCTATCTTGGAGTTGGGTTTCATCAAATCGAGCTTGGAGATCGTCATAGGAGTGGAAATCATCATCCCAGAGCAGATTTTCCTCATCTTTATGAGTATGACTACTCTGATTTCTGTTTTCCTCTCTCTCTCTATGGAGTAGAACCCTTCTCTCACTTGGGTATGAAGAACCCTAGTTCCATGTGTTAGGGATTTGATTGTAATGACTTGGGATGATTATACTGTTTGGTTTTAATCGAATGATGCATGTTTTATTGAATTGATTGAAGTCTGATCAGCTTTTCTTGATTTCTGCTGCAACCTGAGATAGATAGAATCAGATTAGGTTGTTAGAGCTACATCATTCGGTAGTAGGACATTGGCTATACGAGAGTTAGTCAGTTTACTGCTTTGTACTGGAATCCAATTCCAGTAGTGGAGTTCTGTGTTCATAGACTCAGCTTTCAAATCCGGTGAAGACTAGTCGTCTACCAGGTAGTTAGACTGAGAGGGCTTGGTCAGCTTAAGAGATTCCAAGCTACTGTCGGATCTTCCGCAGTTTAATCAACAGTAAATCAACCCAGGGAAATTACAATTGAAACCTAACTAAGGAGCTAGGGGGACTCATTTCCCGAGTGACTCTTCTTTGCTTGAGAAAACCGAACCATTTCCTGCTTTTTACTGCTTTTATTTTAAACAACAATCACTCGACTTAGTTGGCTAGATAATAGATAATCACGGAGTAAACAGTAGATCTAGACCCCGGGTTGATAATAGAACTTGCCTGTTACTGCATTCCCGGACTGCGATTACACTTGGTCGCAGTTTGGTGGTGTTTTGGCGTGTCAAGTTTTTGGCGCCGTTGCCGGGGACCCTCTAGGTTATTGGGGATACATGAGAATTTGTTACTTTAGCTTTTTCTTTACTGCATTGTTTTCTCTTCCACCTGTGTGCCTTCACGGGTTGCTTTTGCTGGTTGTGTGCAGGTAGTGCATGACTCGTAGCCAGTCAGGAGAACTACTACCATTAGACCAGGAGCTTGAACGGACCTGCAGGAACTTCAAGCGGGCTCTAAAGGCGCGACTGGCTGTGGAGGAGGCGCTAGCACAGCTGCAGATCACTGACGAAGAGGAGATGGCTGATCCACAGAACCAGGATGTGGTTAATCCAGAGGAGCAAACCATGGGATCCTACTGGACCGCCAGAGCCGCGGACATGAGGTCACCCATTCAACACCCTCAAGTCCCAGCCAAAAATTTTGAGGTGAGCACCTCAGTAATCACCATGCTGCGCGGTTCAGTGGTATTCCGTGGTAAGGAGGGGGAGTGCCCCCGATCGCATCTGAGACGATTCCATGAGCTGATCGATGGAATCAAGATAAATGGGGTCCCAGCCGATGCCATCCAGCTGAGGTACTTCCCTTTACTCTGGAGGGGCAGGCAAAGGAGTGGCTAGACACTCGACCTCCGGGCTCTATCACCACGTTCGCCAACCTGGCGGACAAGTTCCTCACCCGCTACCATCCTCCATCCAAGACGGCTGACCTGCAGAAGCAAATTACCCATTTTGCTCAGGATGAGGATGAGACCATCCGGGACGCATGGGAGAGATGCAACAGTCTCTTCCTGAGGTGTCCCAATCATGGCTTCAATGATGCTTTCAAGGTGGGCACCTTCTATCACGCTCTCTTCCCGGAGGACAAGCAGCTGATTGACTCGGTTTGTGGCGGGAACATGCTGACCAAAACACCGCCATAGCTGAATCAACTCTTTGAGGAGATGGCAGAGAACGGGTATGATTGGGGCACTGCTAGGAGGTCGAGGAGAGCACCAAGCCGGGGTGTGCATTCTGTGGGAACCCATTCCTCTGATTTGGTGCAGGTAGTATCGAAGCTGGTTTCAGTTATCGATCGTTTCGGGATGATTCCAGGGACCGGACAGCAGCAGGCGATGCTCTGCCACTGGTGCGAGAGCACCCATCACACGGTGGAAGACTGCCAGGCGATGAAGGAATCGACCACACCCCAGGAGCAGGTGAACTTCATCAATAATGTCAGGCGCAATGACCCCTACAGTAACACGTACAACGAGGGGTGGCGCCAGCATCCCAACTTCTCCTGGGGTGGGGCAAATTCCAGACCACCAGTCCCCCAGGGACCACCGGGCTTCTAGAGGCCGCCATATCAGCTCAGACAGGGGCAATTCCAGCAGCAGCAACAGTCTCTCTACTAGCCCATGCAGGGGCATGCTGCTCAATCACAGCCGCGACCTTTCCAGCAGCCAGGTGCAGCCCTTGCTACCCCAGTGCAGAATGATCAGATGGCTGAATTGCGGGACTTGGTGGGTTCTCTCGCCAGTTCTAGTGCTCAGAAATTCAATACTATCGAGCAGATCATGGAAAAGGCCTCGGGTAAATTCCTGGCTCTTGAAGCTGGCCAGAGGAACACACAGGCTGTCTTGCAGGATATCCAAACCCAGCTGGGGAGCATGGCTCGGGCAGTGGCACAAAGGGCTCCTGGTACTCTACCCGGTCAGACCACCCCTCATCCGCAGAACCCGAATGAGCACTGCAATGCCATCACAACCAGGAGTGGCAAGATGACTGCTGATCCACCTGTTCGGGATCAAAAGAGAGAGGCCCCTGCCTCGGCATCTCCAGCGGCTGAAGAAGAAGTAGAGAATGAGGTTGAGGTGCCTGCACCTAAGCCGCAACCGGTAGTGAAGGAGTATATCCCGAAACTCCCCTTCCCTACTCGGTTGCACAAAGACAGGCTGGAGGCAGAATTCGAAAACTTCATGTCCATGCTTAGGAAGCTGAATGTCCAAGTGCCCTTCTTGGAGGCACTATCTCAAATGCCTAAGTATGCGAAGTTTCTGAAAGAGCTTCTCTCAAAGAAGCAGAAGCTGAGTGAGCTGGCCACTGTGGAGCTCAGCGATGAGTGCTCGGCTATTCTGCAGAACAAGCTTCCGCAGAAGCAGAAGAACCCAGGTAGTTTTACTATCCCGTGCTCTATAGATAAATTGCATGTAGAGAGGTCCTTGGCGGATTTAGGTGCTAGTATCAATGTTATGCCGTATAAATTGTTCAAGAAACTAGGCCTAGGTGAACCCCGTGCTATTAGGATGAACCTTCAATTAGCTGACCGATCTGTAGTGCATCCTAGGGGCATAGTGGAAGACCTTCTGGTTAAGGTTGGCAAATTCAATTATCCTGTGGATTTTGTTGTCCTAGACATCAATGAGGACACAGAAGTGCCCCTTATACTGGGAAGGCCTTTCCTGGCCACCGCCAAGGCTCTCATAGATGTGCATGATGGGACCTTAGTTTTGAGGGATGGCGAGGAGAGAATAACGTTTTCAATTGCTAATACTCTACCTGCTTCGTTACCTCTGCATGCTGTATCTCACTAGGAGCACGAGTCTGTCGTGTATCCTTCTGTGTTTCCTATTTTGCAGGATCCGCCTCCCATACCTTCGCCGCCACTCCCGTCCACTCCGTCACCAAAAGAACAGATCAAGGAGGAGTGGCGGCCGAAACTGCAGGCAGCTAAGCCTGCTCGAAAGAAAACCGGAGACCACTATGAGCTGGTCCCGCCCCCACCTTGGCCATCCGAGTATTCACTCGCTTGCATCTTGCCGGATGGCCAAGTCGAGTTGGCGAATGCTGGTGGCCACATTCGTCGTGTGCATGGCCACCATTTGAAGCTGTACCTCAAGAGTGATGTGGATCCGCTCTTGAAGGCACCTGATCCTACACTTCTCTAAGCATCCACCCACTGGCGTCCAGCTAAAAGACGGTAAAGAAGTGCTTGTGGGGAGGCAACCCCACCGAGGTTTGCATTTTCTTACTTTTTTTCCTTTTGTTTTTTGTGTTTTTTGAGTCTTGAGGTGGTGTTCCAGAGTCGAATGTCGTTTTTGAGTGAAAACAGGTTGAATTCGGGGCTCAAGCAGTTCGCACGGCCAGGCCTGAAACTCACACGGCCGTGTGGATTTTACCCCTTGGCCGTGTGAGCTCTCAGCAAATTCCACACGGCCAAATGTGCAATTGGCACGGCCATGTGGCCGACACGGGCATCTCATATGCTCGCACGACCATGTGGATTTTACCCCTTGGCCGTGTGAGCTCTCGGCAAATTCCACACGGCCAAATGTGCAATTCACACGACCGTGTGGATCTCCTCGGCCTGGCCGTGTCGGACAACACGGGCACGACCTGCACCTCACACGGCTGTGTGAGCTTGCCCGTGTGGCCGAGCCACGGCCTATAAATTCGGCCGACACGGCCGAGTGGTCAGAAAATCCACTTTTGCTCGCCGGAAACCTCTCCC